AATAATTGAAGTTTTAATTTACCTCCATTAAAAATGCATTTGAAATTATTCAACTTTTGAAAAATAAAATGTTATCTTTAATTCACATTTTAATCCGCTGTAACAGTCATTTCATAAATAAAATAAAAGTATTTATGATTTAATTGATAATATTTTTACGTCATTAACTTCATTTAAAAATTGTTATAATTTTTAAACCAAAAAAAAAAAAAAAAAAGTTTGCAGAAGGTAGGATCGAACCTAGGTCGCACCGCGTTGCAGGCGAGTACGCTACAGACTGAGCCACTTCGCTGTACCACCATAAGGTAGAATCGATCGGTATATAAGCTGCGCTTAAAATTTTAGAGCCTTTTTTCTCAGAATCTTCTGGCTAGTGCGCTTTACAATTTTTCTGGGTGGACACCCTTGAGGTATACTATGAACCTGCCAAGTCTCATCCCGAACTGAATTTCCGAGACCGTAAGGTCCCCTTGTAAGATAAAATCATTTAAATATTCTTTCAAAACAGCAACATTTAAACTCACCTGTGTTCACATATCCAATCATTCCCACAACTACCATCCGGCATATCAGTAACTGATAATATATTATATGCAGAATCATGAGGTGGACCAATCCAACTGTTAACATCGTTTTCATTTTCATCAATTTTCTGCGTCCAGTCATAACTACTCATAATCCGTGGTATTCCGTAAGGCCAAGCTAACATAAATGCAATGGCAATTTTATATAATCTGGGTTCTCTATAAGTAATTACTTTTTTTGTTATTCCATGTCCTCTTTGCGTGTCATGATTATCGATAAAAACAAAAGCATTATGAGAACGAAGCATTCCTAATTTATCTCCGAAGAAATATACATCAGAAAGCACATTAGAGTCTGTTTTATGTAAAATATCAGCTGAAATAAATCAGCAAATTAATATTAAATATAAATTTTAATTTTTAAAATTAAATAATATGTATGATTTTGACTTATCTAATCCCTACCTAATTTTATTCCAAACTGAAATTCTGTTACTCTTCCAAGAAAAGTATATTCTCTTGTATTAATGGGATCGTTACTGTCTTCATTAATCACTTCTTGATAAATAAAAGGCCTTGTCCGAAGAGGAAAGTACTTCTCATTCAAATTGTCCAAACTTCTATAAATAGATTTCAGATCCGAAGGCCACATGTGTTTTGCGGCATCTATTCTGAAACCGGCAACTCCCAAACTTATTAATTTGTTAAGATAATTAATCATCATTCTTCGCACGTGAGAATTACTTTGATCTAAATCATTAAGTCCCATTAATCTGCAGTTTCTGAGCTGTAAATAAAGTGTATTCAAATTATAGAAGTAAATAATGAAGTAAATAATGACATTTTCAATCATAACTTTAAAAGAACTTATAGAACTTCTATAGAACTGATATTTACAGACTAGACCACAGCTGCGTGACAAGAGCCATATATTGCCTATCAGAAATACAAAAGCACTCTTTACTGAAATTGTATTTTATGTAATGGATATGTATTCCCATATATTTACTTATAATAATTAAATATGTGGGAGCTGCAGTAGGGGTCTAGAAAAGCTGCATGAGGCTCATCTGTCTCAGTTTGGCCACTGTACATCTATGAGCAAGCAAATGAACATAACTAGAATCTAGAAGCATAACTACTGTAGGAGCATATGCGTTTTTGCTACGATTTAATAAGTGAATGAATCATAATGTATCAACTTAATTCTTTTTCTAGCTCACTGCAAACCAGAACCTTGCAGAATTTATTTCCTGTGTATCTGAATTTCAATGTGTACAGAAAAATTTCAAAATATGAATCACATATGTATAAATTTGTATATAATTGACTTATAATTCATGTGTCCAAAGTCTGAAACTGTGCTTACCAAGGGTGTGGAGTTGGAATCAAAAGCACTTTGGGTGGAGTTGATTTTGATGCGAAATCTTAAGAAAAATACTACGGGTAATTCAGAAAGATTGTTACTGTTATAACTGTTATAAAACCTTATTACGCTATAGTGATACAAGATATAGAAATCTGTGATAAACCAAAGGAAATAACATATCTTCAAATTTGTGTGTATATTTCTTAAAGATGCTCTAATCACTAAACATTTTAGATTATCCAATACACATCCACTCTACACATAAATCCTGCCTATATCCAGTGCTGAGTGTCTCGGTGTGATAGGCCAGAATGTTTCTCTATCGCAGCTTGTCCAGGTCTGCTGGCATAACGAGATATACATAGTGTTTGATATAGTCCCAAAGATAAAAAGTTGCAGTGTTGTGTCCAAGCTGTATCTAGTCAAATCTAGTCTCGTCATTCTTCCCATCCACTCTGTGAGTTTGGTTCAGCTTTACACAGGTAATACTAAAAAACCTTTCCGATTTTATTTTGATTGTTATCTCACAAATTATCGTATATCTTGCTCTGTTAAGATGTAATAATATTCCATAATATATTATGAAATATTCTGAATAATCCTATATTTTTACATATCGGATGACATTATCTCGCTCTAAAGTGTACGATTTCTTTTCTTAATATCACAATTATAATCGATATTGGATTTTCATCATTGTAATACCACTAAAAATGGAAAAGGAAGTGAAAAAGCTGTTAAGGGATAGCTACAAAAACCATTAACTTTTATCTAAATATCTGTTAAAATGTAAAAAATATCCTGATAATTCACAAAGTGTTGATGAAATGTCTTATGATATCATTTATCGCTTTAGTAGGTTTGCCATTTGAACAATCAGACAAGAAGCAGTATTCAATGGACAAAAAACAGGTTTACCATATACAGTCTTCCAAAACAAATGCTATCATTTTAAATTACTGTATGTTTACTTTTACCTGAGACGTATGCAACGTACGCCAAGCGTTAAAATAACTATTCAAGTTTCATCTCCCATTTATATTCAAATGTCTTGTCATCTACTACAAAAATGTCAACACACAACAGAGAAGGAGTTTGGTGTTCTGCATTTTGTCAAGTCAGAATCACTCGTCATTGTGTAACATGAGTAATCTGCAGGAGCCGTAGAATTGGGGCTACTTTGGGAGGAGTGACAATGGATATTCTGTAGTGAGCATAGGAAGAATCTAAGTATTGGTTGGATATGTACCATATGACACAATATAAATGATTGAGAAACTGTAATGGGCAAACGTGAAACTTGAGACATTGCGACATTCTCGGATAGTAATTAACATAATTATAATAATTTAAAATGATAATGTTCTTTCTAGAAGACCCTGTATATAGCATTTTTATGAAGGAGTAGAAGTCAGAAGTTTCTGTGTACCAAGACTGTAGCTGTGATGCTGCTCATTATTATGTATTTTCTGCCAAATGTCATGGAGACAAATTAATGTGGATAAAATTTGACGTGGATAATTTAGGTTTACAATAAAAATATTTAAAATACATTGTGTAATTTCAAGCACAACAATAACAACATTGCAAAATAGGAAGCACATCTACAAGTTTCATTAGTATCTACAAATGACATCTGTCAATTAAAATTTAATATCATTCTCTAATATTTTTGAATATAAAATATTTTACAGAACTTATTTACCTGAAAAACATTTGTTATATCTTCTATATCACCACTTGCAGTACCACATTTGATTCTAGAATTGAAGTGTTTTGGACCGTAAGGAACGTCTCCGTAAAAAGGAATCGAAGGATTAAAATTGCTTTCGCCCGTCGATTGTACTTTATCGTGGAATCCTGTCATGTGATTTAGAACGACGTCTACAAATACTCTGAAAACAAAAATAAATTTTTATATGTTTTAAGTTAATTAAACATGTTTCACATTGTTTTTTTTAGATACGTTTATTTAACTTCTCTCAAATACAAGTCATTGTTTTTAATCATACTGATATCAGTTTTTAAATACCAAAAAGAAGCAATAGAAAATTAAAATAGTTTGGGAAATATTTAATTCTTAAGTAATTGTTAATGGATTACTTTTAATGGATTTATATACGGTATTGCATACAAGATCTGTAAGTCTTACATCCACATTTCCACTTCGTAATAGAATAAGAAAGGCAGTTAAATATTTACAAATATATTAATTTTAGATTATATTTTAAATTAAGGATTCTTTTAAAATACAGTAATACCTCGACTTATGCGAACCCGGAGTTACGCGTTTTTCAAATCTCGTCGATTCGTCTTTTGTTTGAGCGCCACGCAGCTCTTGATTACTCACTCCCCCCACACTATTGTTCGGCTTACATGTTCGGACGTGTCGCGCGGAATCGATACATAGCTACAATTTATTTTGTGTTATTTATTTCTGTGTTTGTTATATCTACGGAGACTTGAGAAATTCTATGTGGTGATTTCTTGTAACCGTGAAAGAATTAAAAGATGAGGTAAGATTAACGAGAACATTTATTAGCTTACATACATCCGACGTGGGTTTTACACAAATTGCGAAATTATACCCCGACTTACGCGAATTCAACTTACACGGTTATCACTCGGTCCCACCTATCGCGCAAGTTCGGGGTATTACTGTATATTTAATCTGACTTCATTCGAACTGTCAAAAAAAGTCAAACACTATTCAGACCCTTAGAAATTTTCATGGGATTCTGACCCAGTCTCATTTCTTATCACCTATGGATCTGGCAGAAACTGTGATGAGCATGAATAAAAAGTCCTCTTTGAATGTCCACAGGCTAGAAAGTTATAATAATAATTTATAACTCAATTATATAAATATTGTGTAGTTCTATTACACATTAAATGTAATGTTAACAAATAAAAGAATATTAAAAACATTTTGTGGCAATCAAATTTGTTTAGCTTTGAACGTCTTAAACAATTCATAAACTAAAAAGATTTCTCTCTGTGTTTTAACATAGAAACTTTCACAAATTTTTCATTTGTTTAAATTTGTTAGTTGTTATAAAAACGCAAAATTCAATGCACATTAATGAAGATATTGCTTTTTAATATGCAATTATGCATTCGCATACATCTCTTTCTTAATCTCTGTTGCAAGTCCCTTTGTCAGTAACTGTAAAAATATGTAATTGAGTTTTATTACCTAACTTGATGAGTATTACAAACGTGAATCATGTTTTGTAATGATTTTTCGTCTCCACTTCGTGTAATTATGTTGTAACTGACAGGACGGTATCGCTCAAACCAAGCCCTCCGAATGTCATTATTCCACCAAGGTTCCCACAGAATGGCATGTTCTGCCGGAGGAGATATCTGAACGCCACCGAATCCGTTGGGTCCCAAAACGTCTCGACATTCCTTTGCAATATCGTCCCACTTCCATTCGAAAAGATGAACGATTACTTGTCTTCCGGGTTCCATACAAGGCTGATGATAATCGTCCAAAATTAAATTTTCTTCGACTGTATCTGAAAATACACAAAAATTCATTTATTTGAATGCAAGAATTATTTAAAAAGCTTACAGATATTTTATCTGTTAATTTGTCATAAAATTTAACCACCATTAAACATACTTAATTATAACATTATTAATAAACAAAGAACGAGTCAAAAGTCTTTATTGTTTTTATAGTTGATACAATGAGTCCTACATCTTCATACATTACTGTCTCTAATTTTTATATGTAGGAACACTGTAAAGACATAGTTTACTAAATAAAGTTACAAAACAAGGATCAACTAAAGAATTATGTAATTGGTATTCACACACAACAGCAAATACATTACCTTTGCCATGAATACATTAAATGCTGCTTACATAAAGCGTATTTTGTAACTTACAAGTAATTGTATAATAAAGCAAGCTCTTTCCTATTGTATGGAAACTTTTGACTTATTTTTTAAAAAATCTAGAAGTACAAGATGGTTATAATTAAACAGATATTTAGAGTTCTGTGTAGAAAGATCTATTGGACCAAATGCAACCAAATTTGGTAAGCATACTTTCCTGAGCATGAAATTTCGATTTTGCAAATAAAAAGTTTAGTTCCAAAATTTCTCAATAAGAGAAATTTGGAGCTAAGGTCACTGTAATTTGCATATTAGATTGTCAAAGAAATTTGGGCAATACAGAGAAGTTGAGACACAAAATGTAATAATTTCAGTGTGCAATTTAGTGTGGTGATTACAGATTCATAAGTTGTAACGCATCAAAAATTACAACGTCATACGTGTCAAACTGCGCAAGTGTTTAAGTAACTAATCAATCAGACTATTCATTGAATGATACTTTAAAACAGGAAGATAGAGGGCATGTATAGTAGAAATGCTAATGCACTTGATGGCAGAATGTAACTGACTTGGGTGCAGTTATCTTATGTGTAATGAAACTGTCTTTTAAGACAGTTAAGTTAGGAACATTGCCAGATAAACAAAGCTCTTCAGTATCCTCATAATGACCAGGCTGAAAATGATTGGCCAATCACTCTTTCATTCGTAAGTGCTGATGCAATAACTATTGCACATACAATACACATTTGACATCAAATTACATAAGTAACATAAAAATAACTGTCTATTGGCATTAAAAACTCTTGTGTTACTGTTTATAAGCACATCCTTTCATTAAAGGCTAGATGATCTGCTGAATTATTGGGTAATAATAAGGCTAAGTTAGTAACTTAACCTTATTATACAAGGATTGATCAAATGAAATTTGTTCCGAGTAAATTTATTAAGACAGATGAAACAGTATATCCATCAGTATTGTATAATTAAATGAAGCAATACATAAAAAAGCCAGAATTCACTTTTGTTCATTAAAAGCCCCATTGGCATTCAGACGCATTCCACAGGAAGATGACAGATATCATCTGCAAATAACAATGTTAGTTGGTTCTTGAACCATTGACTGCTTTCTTGACTTCCATATCAGAGTTAAAGCATTGCCCCTTAAGAATTTTTTAAAGATCTGAACAAATTAAAGTCACATGGTGACAGATCAGAGCTATTGGAAGGGTGGTGTAGAACCTACCAACGTTTTCATGCTAAAGCATCTTGCACAGTGTTCGCAACATGCGGTCAAGTATTGTCATGCAATAAAATCAAACCACATGATAGCATGTCTGGTCAATTATTCTTTATGGCTTTAAGCAGTTTGTCTAATTTAGCATTGTAGTGGTTGGAATTGATGTTCACATGAGGGTCTTTAAGATCCACCATTCAAAGGCACCACAATGTCAAAAAATGCAGTCATCATAAACTCAAAGGCAGAGGCCTGACTTGAATTTTTTGTGTTGGTGAGCCGGGGTGTTTTCATTGCATGTCTACTGGTTGGCTCAAAGGTAAGATAATTAAATTTCAATGTTTAATATTACACTAAAAACATGAATTGATGGGCGAATAGTTTTTCTGTAGTGTTTTAGTGTCATTTGGGAATTTGGTTGGGGCTATTCAGATAGAAATAAAGTAGACTTTTTCTTGTAAGAGATAATGGAAAGCACTTCTCAATATCTGAATTGTTTTCAAGGACACATTACACTTGGATAACAAGGTATAGCTGTAAGAAATTTCTATTAATCTTATAAAACAGTAAAAAATTATTATCCCGTATAGATTAAAAATATGGAAAGTTATTAAATTACTTGTAAGAAGATTCTTCAGATGCCTATAAGATAAGAAAATCGCTTCATATAAACGCCAATAAACTTTAATAATCCATTCTCCTAATGTGTACGAATGACTATTTTCTTCTATAAAAGTATTTTCAAAATTTCTTTTCTGCAGTTCAATATCATTTGTGGAAATATTGTTACTGAAACTATTCTGGTTTTCGATCCAAAAATTCTTTGAAGTGTCTTCTTTTATATTCTGTAAAATGAGAATAAGTATTTTACGTAAGGAAAGAAATTATAATAATTACAAGTAAAAATCAATTTCTATAAAAATTTTTAATTTTAATATTTCTACATTGTAATAAATATGCAGATTTTACAAATTGAAATTAATATTAAACTGGATTTGTCGAAGAACTGGTGTATGGAGTGCTGGCTTAATGGTAACTTGTACCTGAGCAAAACTGATTTTTGCCACCCCTTGTCTGATACAAACATACCTCGACCAAATCCCCTCGCAGAGATGGATCGGGCATTTGGCAGCAAAGGATAGCATGCTGATGCTATGGTCTCTCAGATCTCCAAATCTGATACCGCAATACATCTTCTTGAGAGGCTATGTATGGGATTGCATTAACCTATAATTTTAAATTCCAAATATATGATGTCAAAGGCATCAAAGATTTAATATCATGTGTTATGTGACATCAAATGCAAAAGCTAAATGTCGCCAACTGTGTTTTTTTCACCCAGACTCGAGTCAAAAAGACACAAACACAAAAGAATACTTTCATTGGGTTCTATGTTGTTTGGACATTTCTCCAGGTTGAGTATTTTTTAATTGGCAAAAAATACAGTTTAATTTTTTGTTCAATTTCTACTGTGTTCAATATTTATTTTCATATTTCTGATTATTTGTAGTCATATAAATGTACATGTATACAAATAGTTAATTATAAACAAACATATCTACATTTCTATCTTTTCTTGGAGACCACACGCACATCCTTTCTTAATCTCGAGTACTTTCGAACCTCCCAGCCAATCGTCGAGGGGTAAAAAATATAGGAAACATATGCTTGTGTTATTAAAGAATGTAATTCAGAGTCCGAGTTAAATGTCTGTTACGACAGTTTTGTGCCCTCAATGATGGGCTGAAAGTGCAGTCAAAGGGCTGAAAGAAGTCAAACAATACCTCTACATGTGACCCTATGTAAGATACAGCCCCACGAAATCATCCTACTTCCAGGTTGCATGCGATCAAGTCGAGTCGCTCCACTAATTCTGTTGTATTTAACTATCTAGTCCACGAGACTATACCGGCTTTGAGTAGCCCACTTCACCGTTTGCAGAGTATTTGACGTTATACAGTTTTACTCAACCAATGCTCGTGCCATGCGCAGCATCGGTCAAGGCAAACGATAGCAACACGGAGCACGGAGAATAGGCAGTATACCTATTCACGGTAAAAACTGACCTTTGAAGGTGCTTATCTCACAACGGGTCATATGTACAGGTACGATTCCCTTGACTTTTTTGTTCATACAGTGGGTCTATAACTCTGGGGATGGCAAATCCCTCAGAGTTTAAATCTTACCAATATGTGAGGCATTTTGAAGCATTAAGCATGTTTGTTAATCTTAATATCAACTGATATCATTTCATATCAGTCGATCCTTTCAAATTATCATATCAATTGATAACGCGTGATTTCAGGTGTCATTTGATTACTTCAGAAATGATATCAAGTCGACGTCATTTCAAATGATTAATTAAATGACATTTTTACACGAATGGTCACGTGATTTACACAACAGAGTTTACAATTAAGACGTCACACGTTTATTAATAATCTCAATCTCTCAATTAACACGCGAATGTTAGTTACAAAAGGAACACGTGACTTGCACGTGCAAAATTCCAATGATATACTTACGTAATCATTTAAATAGACCGCTAATAACTCTAACGCAATCAGACAAATACAATTATATTTTTTAATCATTATTATTAAATCAAATTAATATTTTCGAATTTCGGAAATAATTTACAAACATTTTTCCTAAAAAAATAAAATACGCACAAATACTCGAATTTAGAAATGTGAAAGCTCCACCTCTTGAGAGTTATCGGTACTACAAATGCATTTCTTGGACGTCTATATATCTATAAAAAAAAAAAAAATCCGAAAAATTGACAGTTTTCACATTAAGTATATAAATAAATAAAAGAAAAGGCATATAGATTTCTGCTTTATTGTTTTCTATGAGCAGTAGTTTATTTTTAAAATATTAGTTAAATGGCGGCGTAGGTGTACTGTACGGGTTGGAATTCGATTTCTAGAATTTCTAATAGCGAGGTTGCGGCCGAAGTTTTCATCTCTCAAACGTGAACGCCGAACGTCGAGCGTCGCTATCTTGTAAGCTGCGCTCGACGTTCGACGCTCAAGTTTGAGAGATGAAAACTTCGGCCGCAACCTCTCAATGTTTTATTTTACTCTATGAGCACTAAAAGAGCATTTTAATTATACCCATCGTAGGTTTGGCAAGGTCTACAACGGGGCGGAAGGGTGGTGAGGAACGGAGCCCCACATATCTGGATGGACCATCCCGAAAAATACCTAGGAATTTTCGACCCGCGTGGATTCGTTCCCGGCTTCTCAAAGCGTTTAGACTGCAATCCTAACCGTCCGACCACACGACCGTTCGTGTAATTGATCTTTCCTATCTTCTTCATAACTTTCCATTCCGAAAGTGGGATGGCCAATTGGTTAAGGTGGAAGCCCACCCTTAAAGGAACCCGGAATCGAATCCAGACGTGACGAAAGACCCCAAGAATTGCGGGGTGGTCCGTCCTGATATGTCGGGTCCCTTCCCTCACCATTCGGCCGCCTTTTGCGGGCCTGGCCTAATATATAATGAGATTACTAAAAATGTCCTCTTAGTGCCCACAGGGCGGAAAGAGTTGAGGTGGCAGCCTACCGCTTTGGATGATCCGGGATTGAATCCGGGCCCGTCTCTCGCCACCTGGCTGTCTCGTTGTGGGGCTGGCCGAATTCATAATGGGCTTGCTATTAAAAAAAAGGCCCTTATACAGTAGTGCCCAGAGGATGGATAGAGTTTATATGAATTTAAATTACAGAGTGATTTTTATTTTTACAAAAATGCGGGGGGACTATAAATTATATTTTCTATTCACGTCACTAAAATACGAATAGATGTAATAGGATTAAATATCATTAAATCATCTGTATTAAGGAAAAACATCAAGGAAGTAGGAAATATTTCTATTAACTACGTACTGGTTTGTAAGATTGTTGTTTAAAGTTAAATTATAAATGTAATAATTTGATACACAGAATAATCCCTCAAAGACATTTTAACCAACGTTTCTACGTAATAATAATAATTATTTATGAAATAAGTAGAAAGGCGTCGAAATTTTTACTAACTTCCCGGGGATCCGAATTCGAATCCAGACGGGCGGTTTGTTACGATGGTTACGTTGAGCCCCACGGGTTCGGCCAGGCCCTCTTACGCCACGTTTACGTGATAAAAGTTACGTGGAGAAAGATTTATCCCGATTAAGTTAACCTGCAAGAACACGAGTTAAAGATGGTGTTCACGCACAATGCAACTTGATGTATGTGGATATGACGTCGTTATTTCGATTGTTCCGACTATAATGCTGTGATTCGTGTCACTAATCCACTTAATAATGATTAACTCGGTTGCAGAAAAGGTGTTAAAATATTAATGGGAATTGGCTAACTCCGTTCTGTACAAATGTAAAAAGTTAACCGGGTTGAAAGGCCCGATCGGGGTTCTCTCTCCTCGTGTACACGTATTGTTAGTGCCAGTAGGGGAAAGTGTTAAAATTATTTAAAAAACCTAAAGATGCTCTTATTTATATATTAAAAGTGTTTCTTACATGTATTATTTAATTATAAAAACAGTTACTTAGGACTAATGAGAATGGTCGCCCCAATTGTGGGTCTGGTCGAACCCATAAAGGACTTGCTAAGAGGACCTCTTGGTATCCACAGGCCGAAGAATATATATATAAAACATTATACCCAGAAAAATATTTGTTAAGGTTAAATTAAAAACAAATTTCTTTCTCGCCTATCGGTAAGAGTTATCCGCTTGGGCGCCATTTTATTCGAAACAAATGGCGTCAGTCCTCCCGAACGAATTAAATTTACAGTAACATTTCCTTTAATAATAAAGTTAAAAAAATTAAAAATCAATAGAAGAACGTCGACTTTAAATTATTTTCTGAAATATTTTAATATTGGATTGGTTTTGTGTATGGCAACGCAACACAGGAGCGATATGCCCAAGAGGGATGTCTTCTACGGGAAACTGACCCCTATTTAGATGTTTACTGAAGTGAAGAAGACTCCACGTGGCCAGGCACATGTTCCGCGGTGTTATCCACTCTGCTGCTAGTAACATTCTTAAATGGTCATACGAAAATTATGACGCTGTCTTTTCCTCCAAATACCAAAAAGAAGTTAGATGGATTTCCAAAATCTCCCAAACATACAGTAATAATAGGTTGAAAGACACTTACAATGATGTCATTCATACAGGCACACTAGGATGATCTCAGTGCTCCATTGCAAACTAAGACATGTGAAGTTAGAGAAGAACTTTGCCCCATTTCCACAGCTAAATGCATATATTGATGAAAACCCATACCCATATATTAATGAAAAGTGTAACTATTTCAACTGACCTTATGAAGACACGAGAGATACAATGTCAGATATCTTATTATGTGTCGACATTTCCACCAAAATTAATTGGCGATCAATTAGTAATAGTTTGAAGTATTTTCCAAAATAATTTCACAAACAAATTAAGTTCTTGAAAATGCTTAATCATTAAATAGTGACTAATTACGTGAATGTAGTAAAAATTTACCAGGGGATTACCCTGTAGAATTTCATATTCCTTGCTTTGTTGCTGGTGAGATGATAAAATATGACTCATCGCCTTCTCAGAAATGTTCGGAGATTAAAAACTACTTCATTGTTTAATTTAGAAATAACGATAAAGGCCTTAATACTTGAACCTTAATAACTCCTTTACTTTTTGTGAAAGATTTCTGAAATTTTGCAGTGAGGTTTGTGTATTAGGTGGAAATGTTTCTAGAAATTTTAAGTAAAACCAGACCATTGTTTGGGGAGATATTAAGGAAGTAGTGACAATATCTCCCGAACCAATCTGAAGACTTAAGGAAAATGGTAATTGTTAGGAATGTAAATAAAGAATGGCTGGGAAAGTCCAGCAACCGGTTGCCAGTTTTTATTTTCTGTGTCATTGCAGAAGAACTCTTCCTAATTCTTAAATTAAATAAATATTTATCTGTGATAAACCAAATCGTTTTCACAATTTTCCTAATTGCAGAAAGTCTATTCATTATAACAACACAATTAACATTATAAAAAGTTAATTGTGGAAATATAAGGTCTTGTCATACTTTTACACTTAAATACAGGGCTGTGGAGTCGCGTAAAAATCTACCGACTGCAACTCCGACTCCGACTCTTCCTTACCATCCGACTCTGACTCCGGCTAAAACATCAAAACTCCACGACTCCGACTCCACAGCCCTGCTTAAATATTAACATTGCGCACATTCATAAACCACGAATTGTATGATTATTGTAAAATAGACATTTGAGATCTTTTAAATGTTCTGTAACCTTTCTCCAAAGTTGTGTCAGAAAATATTTTACATATAAAATCTATGTATATTTTTGTGGTAAGATAATTTGGACTGGAACAGCTGCAGAATTCTTGACATTTTTAAGGCATCTTCATTTTCAAAAAAAACATCAAAATTACATTTGTAGTGATCAGCTATTGATGTTTTCGGAAGTTGTGTTTGTGTATGGCTGTACATAAGCAAGCAAAATACACATGGCAGTATAATAAAATAATACATAAATATTTGCTTAGATAAAATATGCTGTAATGATACTCAAATTTATTGAAACTCAAAAATTATTTGTTATTATGAACTCATTTATTTCTTCACAATATCTTTACTTACAAATGGGTACATATCACATAAATCCAAAAATAGTTACAAAACCCTGAGTATAGACATAAGCCAAATTCAAATAGATTTAGCAAAAATATTTTAGCTGCGATAATTTTGTAGATTCAAGCATTATTTGACTTATTGATGCAATGAATTTTTCATTAACACTGTCGGTACTGTGCGCAAATTTTGGTTTGCACCTTTTTCGTCCTTTTTAACATATAAAATCTCTTAAAGGCCACATTTTCGACCTTGTTTCTGAAGAATGTTTTTACTTCTTATCTGTTTAACGAATTACTTTCATTAACTACATCAATATTTTTAAATTTCAGTCTGAATTTCTAATCTATTTTCATTCATTTCTAAATTACATATAGAGATATATGTGGACACACGATGAAAATTTACAAATTAGTGAAAAACCATTATGTTTTACACTGTACTTTTATAATACTTGCATTTAATGCCAGCTATCTTAAGTATATTGAACATTAGAAAATGTGTTGAGTATAAGTCATGGAATTATTGTATACAGAAAGACTAAACTAAGATATAATTCATATCTCAAAATTTAACTTTCTTTCATTATTTGACTTTAATTAAAATGGTACAAAAATAACTTCTTTCTACGACCATATTCTGCTCCTTTGCAAAAATCTTCAGAATAAGAATAAATTAATTAAATACAAATTTCATTTTAATTTATCACAAGCACAGACACATTTTAATGTTGTATACTTTGTATACTGATTCTGTTAAGTTGCATCAGCTTGAATTACTGATTTACAACCAAACAATTGAACTATCTCATATTTTTAAATATATATATGTGTAGTATATCTATCAAATTAAATATGTTTGTGGTAAATACTTATAATTTATTTAATAAATATTTAAAAAAATAAAACTAATTTAATCCTACTCACAATTTTCTAGTTCATCTCCTTTGATAAATGCATTTATAATAGGAGCTATTCTTTCCGGATAACTTAAATGAATGAAATGATTACCGTCGATTTCTACGTATTCGAATCTGCTGCATTTTTCCGAATAAAGTTTTAAAAACTCGTTGTAACTTTCTTGATCGGAAAATATGGGAGATCGTTTAGCTTTAATTAGTAACAGACCGCACCGAATATTAGAAATTAGCGACTTCATAACTACGGAAGAATTAAACCCGCAATCCCACACGTACTTGATCCGTGGATCGCGAGTAAAAACGTATTTACCTGGCTCTATTTCTTTAGTTCCTCTTTCGATTAGTAACTTAATCTCATCTTCTCCGCAATCATTATACTCGCTATTCAGAAGACGTTTCGTAGCTTCTTCTTTAGTGTAAACTGGCGGGTTAGAATTATTTTTTATTTTCTCCTGTTCTGCTTTATACTCGTCAATCTTCCGTTTAATTTTTGACGATATACCTTCGACGGAATACGTAACGGGTTTTAATAAATCGATTCCAATAACCTTATCTATCATTTCTGGATACATGCTCGAGAAAGTGATAGCGAATTCGCTTCCCCAACTGTGCCCTATTATGCTGAACTTTTTCCAATTAAAATATTCGGCAATAAGCTTAATATGGTAGATGAATTCTAATTTAAAATAAGGTAGACCGTCGGTCTTGTGAGACGATCTACCATGACCGATATAGTCAATTGCAACAATATGTAAATCGGGAGACAAAAGCGGTATTAATCTGTCAAACGTTGCCGCGTTGTCTTGCCATCCGTGTAATGCTAAAACAGGTTCGCCAGTCGATAAACCCCATTCTTTGGCAGCCAAGTATCCATTTTCCACGGGAATTTCAATTTCTTTTGCAGTAATTTCGGAGCCCATTTTATTTAGAAAATATCTAAAATAAATTTGATATTTATTAATAAACTGTATTTGTAATTTCATGTTTAAGAAATTGCTGAATTTTTTACAATGTTTCTGAAGCTGATAATTAATGAATAAATTATATATTTTATATTTAGCAGAAAAATTTTATAACTCCAGAAGTTATTATGAATAAAAAAACTTATGTTTAATTATTGGTTAAGATTTTCTATCTAATTTATTGCAAAAAAAAAATATACAATATAGCTGAATCATTACAAATTATTTCAATTAACACAGTGCAATTAAAATTACAAATGATAATTTACTACTTTTATCAGAAAAACCATGAATTACTACGCACAATTATAAATTATTCATATATAATTCCTTATAATACTACCTGAAAAATTTGAATTTAGAAAAGGATAATTTCCTTCCTAATTCCCTAATCATTAGAATTTCATAATACTACTAAATTTTTCCTTGTACATTGAAGAGTTGAAAGAAATAATGTGTGTAATGCTCTGTTGCTTTTATCTGTTAAAAGCAATAAAGCATGTAATGGAAAACAGAACAAAACATTACACTTTGCCGTATTTGTCCGGGAAGTAATACAAATTAACGTTAACTGATAAGATATAACTTATTTTGCTAGCATGATTATAATCTCAGCAAACTGTTCTAAAACTGTAATTTAAACTATTTATCATACTGTAATTTCTATCATTTTCTGATATTTGATGATATTATTATATAATATGATTCATTGATAAATATGTAATATTTTAAAGGCGATACGCAATTTACAATCGGTTTCATTAACAGGTTCTGAAGACATCTTTTAACATACTTTTTAAATAATTAATATTTTTATTTATTTATTTTTAATTTTTGAATATATTTATTTATTTAATTTGAAATAAACATGCAGTTGAACAAGACTTCAAAACATTGAAATTGTAATAGAATTGGTTTAACGGAGGGTACAGATACGGCTCCGAATTAGTCGAGATCCTATCAGAGCCGTAGGTCACGCCCGTGGATAGGGAGACCCGACGTCCCCGATTCTCGGGGACCGTCCCAGGTTTTGCCAGTTTTTAATATTTGATTACAGAATCAATCTTTTATTAACACACCAGTATAATATTAATACACACCAATAAAGAAATCAATTTAAAAAAATAGCCAAAATTCAATCAGTTTTAGACCCCATTTACACTGATTCTGAAATGTGTCCTCGGTTAAATTCTAAACTTTATGGTCAACCTACCACAGGAGTAAAAAGTCAAATGGTCTACACGTGACCCTTCGTGCGGAAGTGACGTCACAAATACTTTGAAAGCGGGTATCTCGACAAGGGGTCACAGACACACTGTTCCTTTGACCTTTTCGGTTGTCTAGAAGGGTCTAATATTATACGATCCAAATCCTTCATTCAGAGATGTAATTTTACTTACAATTTGAGACTGTTTACCTATAACCCATTCATTAAATGTGTATGAACAATAACCGTATTTAAAGTTGTATATATGTCGATAATTATCATTTTAACTTTAAAATCATCCTTAGATTTGGATTAGGAATTAGTAAACATCAAGATTTATACTGACCTTTCGGTTTATAATTTAAGAAACGACGAGGATCCGAACGTAAACAAACCGGCATCTACTAGTGTCAATATACAAACGATCGTATCACCTGTATTACTAATAGCGACACCTGTCGTTACAAATGTGCAATACTTACGTCAAGAACGCGATTTTTCATTCGCGCCTTTTTCTTAACATTTATATCATTTTCTAATGTCATTACAGTTATAAATAAATTATAAAGCTTGGATTTATTTGAAAATTGAATGATAAATTTATTCGTGACGTCAGTGTAATGCGTAAATTTCAGTCTTCGTTTTTGTTAATTTAAGAAACGAATGACGTCAAACACAAAGTCGTGCGTCGCTGATGTCACGACCTTAGATTATTATTGGCGCTGTTCCTACTGTACGTCAATAATCGAGAACGATGTCACAATGCTAAATTATTATTTATTTATATTTTTATATGTCATTTAATTAATTTAAATATAATTTAAACGCTAAAATATTCGAATAATTTTTATTTTTATTTTTTTATTTCACCGATTAATCGAGTAGTGGCGCATTTTAAATGTGTAATTTTTTTCGGAAATAAATAAATATATATCGTAATAAAGAAATTTCTCTCTCTCTTTCTAAATTACATTTTTATATTTTAATTACAATATTTTGTAATTAATATGGATGAAAAATTTGTAGTTTTGACACTATTATTGTTATATTTAGGGAGAAATCCCTAAATCTTTAATATTTTAAAGTAGAATAAGAAAAAGAAATGAGATTAGAAGATATTTAGATTTTAAAAATTCCCTAAAGGCGACATTTTTAAATATTTCGAAAAATCATAATTAAAACAATGGAATTTCAATTTATTTTGCGGTTTTGACAAGACCGGAATAATAATTGCAACAATTGACAAGTGACAAGTGTCGCCGCAATTATTAGCACGTGCGATTCTATTGTTTCTTATTGTGTCAAAGCGAATGGTTTCCGACTTGTTTACGTTCGTAGAATGTAATGTGAATGATCATTACTCTATTCGCGTGAGAGATCGAACTCGATTTAACGCTACCGTTTGCTCGCCTCGAAACTTGGCATTAATTAAACTGAGCGTGGCGCTAAATCGAAGTTTGCCGGAAGATTCCACCGGGCGCCAGGGTCACGAGGGTTATATTATGGTTAATTTATCGCTTTTAAATTTTAAAAATCCTAATTTTCTAACGGGTTTTTCATAATTACAGCCAATTTTACCTCCGTATTTCTATAAAAGTAAGACCCCGCAAGCAGTACTGAAGGACGCTCAGAAGGAAAGTTGCCCAATTTGTCATTTGCTTTGACATAAAATGTGTTGAAAGAACAAGGTCAAATAAAGTAAAACAATTGTTCCTTTCGTGTTGTGTTCATTCGACGTCATTTTTTTAACGTGTTCGTTATAAAACTGAAGCAATGACGTTAAATTGACCTTACAGTGTACACATTCGGGACGAAACAAATGGGAACTCGATAATCGATTGAGCGGATTCGTTTCAAGGTTTCCAAGAGGTGCCAGGACACACTGAAAAACAATCACCCCTAAAGCCCACGTGACAGTGGCGTGCCGTGACATTTGATGATAGGGAAGCTGTGTTTCTATAAGAAGCGGACTTCCAGGGGCAATCAGTTAATTCTTTCTTTACATGTATTTTTTACTCTTTAAATCTTAACCACTTAGTCAAATAGCTCCCTACGAGTGGAATCGGAGACGGTCGCGTTAGGTGAGCGGTGCGTACGTGCACGCGGGCTGCCAAATCCCGAGGGTGCCCATACCGGTCAATTTCAAATGCCTCTTTTGTCGCATCACTAATATACGTCAGAAGACGCGACAGGGTTCTTGTAAATTTTAAACGTTTCTCACCATAACTGTANGTCGCGTTAGGTGAGCGGTGCGTACGTGCACGCGGGCTGCCAAATCCCGAGGGTGCCCATACCGGTCAATTTCAAATGCCTCTTTTGTCGCATCACTAATATACGTCAGAAGACGCGACAGGATTCTTGTAAATTTTAAACGTTTCTCACCATAATTGTAAAAGTCTAAATATGTTAAACTTAATAGATTGTCCGTCGTTTGTTTTCTAACTAATTCGTTTTAGGACTGGGTGTCGTCCAAAGGAAATTTCCAAAATTTAAGACTTTTCGGTCACTCTGGTCGAACTAAAAAAATGTCTGTCTTTATTGCATCTAATATTTCGAAGAAATCGGTCCCACAGTACTCGGCTAGAGATTGGTCCGGNCTATCTCGTTATAATTTTCGATATTTATTTCATATTATTCACTAATGTTAAATTCTATTCCGCTTCAAATACGAAAGAATCGACGATTTTTCGTGTCTTTTCCCAGCTAAATTGTCAAAGCCATTCTTATTCCACACACCGATTTCATTTGAAAATAGTAGGCGAGCCAAGAAAACAATTTCTGCATTTTTATGCATTTACAAAGCCATTTTATCGTGAAAATGTCCAACAAATTTTTTTATCGAAGCGTTTATATTTAACTTAGGCATTGGCCTTTCTCTTTTAATAATGTTTTCTTTTTCATTATACGATCTCGAGCCAAAACTTCTTTAAAATAAATCTTCAATATCGCAATAACATACCGAATCGCTAGCCACGATATAAGGGCTAAAATTAAAAATATAATTATAAAAACTTACTCGGTGAAATAAAATGTGTATGGATATACATACCCGGTACAAAACATTCTTCAATTGTACGAATATACTTTCAAAGAAAATTATTATTAAATATATGAAACGTACATAAAAATACATAAAATATTCTTTACTCTTTAAATCTTAACCACTTAGTCAAATAGCTCCCTACGAGTGGAATCGGAGACGGTCGCGCTAGGCATGCGGTGCGTACGTGCACGCGGGCTGCCAAATCCCGAGGGTGCCCATACCGGTCAATTTCAAATGCCTCTTTTGTCGCATCACTAATATACGTCAGAAGACGCGACAGGGTTCTTGTAAATTTTAAACGTTTCTCACCATAACTGTAAAAGTCTAAATATGTTAAACTTAATAGATTGTCCGTCGTTTGTTTTCTAAGTAATTCGTTTTAGGACCGGGTGTCGTCCAAAGGAGATTAACAAAATTTACGACTTTTCGGTCACTCTGGTCGAACTGGAAAAATGTCTGTCTTTATTACATTTAATATTTCGAAGAAATCGGTCCCACTGTACTCGGCTAGAGATTGGTCCGGTTAGACTTTTGTTTAAGTAAAATTTCGGCTCTTTCGTCGGGGTTTTGTTTACGTTTCCAATTCCCTAATCGCTTAATTATTTAACTTCTTCTTAAGCAGAAATAAGTCGAAACCGGTTACTTCGTACTCGAATATTTGTAGTGTCGGGAAAAAGTGGAAAGAGAAATTTTTATGACAAACGGATACATAAATGGTAAATTTAAGGAAAATAAATTCTAGGGCTTTTTCTGTACCTCGTTCATCTCTCTCGTTCGTTAAATTTAGTTGTAAATGACGCTGTCGAAGTAGCAGTTAATTTTTTTAACATTATACAAGAATTGTACACGTTTCTTTCTACATCCCCTTGAGGACGGGACGTACGAAATCGTAATATCACTGGATTAACATTGAAATCCGCGAGTAATATAAAATCGGAGAGCGGAATAAAAATAGCGATCTTATATTTTTTTCGCGTGTAGTATAGAAATTTTAATAAGATACGTGTTGCGGTTATAATAAAATATTACGCGATTATTTTCGTATAATTAAAATCAATATGTATTTATTTTTTAGAAAAAACAAGGGAAGCGGCGCATCCGCCGCTTCTAAGGACGGCATGCCACTGGTGTCAACGAATACATATGAACGACTCTTTCTTAAAAAAATCTTGGTTTAAAAAAGTTTTTGTTCTATTGGTTTTAAGTGATATGGCAACGCATTTCATAAACGATTGGTCTGCGGGGGACTTTATATGAAAAAATGGTCTCTGTTTAGATGTTAGCCACATAAAGAAAAACCCGGAAAACTCCATGTGTCCAGCTCGTTGCTGAAGCTCTTTGCCGAACCTACAACCTCTAAGCGATGTTTATCCATCATACCACTGATGGATTCGGGCATTAATGAAACGAGAATGAATATTATTTCTTTTTTTAAAATCTTAAATAAAACATTTAATTAACTATCTAATGGATATTTTCTACAGAATTTTTTAACGGGCCCGCTTTTCATCTTGCGGGCCTTATTCCCGTCACTTAGAAATCTCGGTCGAAGCGTGCCAGATATGGTGTGCTTTAATTTTTACTTTGGTACTGGCTGCATCTATTATAACGGGCATTGAAAATAAGCCAATTTAGAAAAGTTGTTTAAAATTAAAAATTGTAAATAAATGTCGGGCTTTTACAAATTATGAATTTTCCGAGTTGTTCCTTCACAACTCGGATGCTCCATTGTGGGCCTGGCCGAATCCATAATGAGCTTACTACAATAGCCCGCAATGAGGCGAGTTTGAAAAAAAAAATATATATATATATAAATTTTTAACATTTTTTTTAGAGATNGAATTTGAAAAAAAAGAAAAAAAAAATATACAAATATATAACTAACCAAAAATTAATTACTTCTTACAAAATGTTTATTTTTATTTATTAAAATTATAAATTTTAAACAACTCTATATATTTTTTTAAAGATTAATGGAACAGTTTTTTCAATTTTCCGCTAGAGGATGACCAATCGTTTAGTTTAAACTTCCTGTTTTGATAATTGTAGATTTCACTTCCTGTCAATCGCAGAGTGAGCATGTCACATGGTGGGAGTGGTAGTAGCTTACAGCATGAATGTTAAAGAGTAAGTTAAATCTATGTGCATTTTAAGAATAAATGTTAATTACATACGACCGAAAGAAAGTATAATAATAATAATAATTAATCAATCAGTTTCATGGACAGTACACATTTCGGCGGTGGAAACGAAAATCTGGATAATCCTCAGCCTCCAACATTTGCAGATTTGGGCATTCCCACCGAACAACAAACTCGTCTAACCATTATTGGAACGGTAAATTTTATTTTTAATTATATTAAATCTGTGCATAATAAAGTTGAGGTTACTTTCAGGTACCAAGTTTTGTCGTGGTATGAGATGCTAGGATATTATCTGTGCATGTGTTCGAATACACTAGGCTCTTGCTAAACCGGCCATGCCTCGCACGTAGCTGTGCCGTATTACCGAGAGTGTATAGCCGAAAGATGCCACCTTAGGTGACCAGTTGCTCTTCGGTGCTTTTTTTTTTTTTTTTTTTTGGATGGAAGTGGAAAAGCGATGTTGCGTGCCGGTTTGGTTTGTTTGTTTGCGGCGACGTGACGCGTGGGCCGTCTGCCGAGCGGGGAGGGCTTTTTGAAGGAAACGGGCCCCTATTTAGGTGTTACAAATACAAAAAAACCCGGAAAAACTCCTTGTGGCCAGCAATGAGTGTTTTGGTGATTTTATTCACTTGGAAACCGTATTGCCTACTGATATGCAATACTATAGAGAGAAATGAAACCAGAGTAAACAGGAAAACGTGACGTGACTACATTTCTGTGGAATTCGTTCTAGACTGCATACTATTAATAACAAACAAAACTTACTACTACACTAAACTTCGGCTGCAAGGTAAGGTGTAGTAGTAAGTTTTGTTTGTTATTTTTGTGAAAATAGATGATTATTAGTAATCACAAGGGGGATATGCTGGATTTGCAAGAGTCTATTGTATATACAAAATATGCAATCTGTTTTCTTTTCGTATACATTTTGTGTGTGTATATTTGTAGATAAGTAATTTATGTTCTTCTGATAAGATTCTTATATTTGTTTTATGTGGAAAGATGTAATTATGACATAAAGCTTGCACATAAGGAGAATACTTTCACTTTTACAATAGGATATGCATCAGACTGCTTCCTGTAATTTTGTTTGACATAACACATTCACTCTATTGTTTACTCGGATTCCATGATGATCTCCTATTACTTTGCATAATATAAACTACTCAAATTTCTGTTGCAAAATAACAAGTTAACTGATTTGTGTAAGGTTTATATTTTTAGTGAAAGTATAATTTGTAATCTAAACAAAATTTATGTATAGAAGAGAGATTTTTATAATGTTATCAATATTTATTAAAACACAGAAAAGTATAATAAGATTAAAATGTAAAAAACTTTTTAAAAGGCCTCAGTCAGTTATTATATATTGGATAAGATAATTAACTGTTAAAAATACAAGTTTTCTTTCCGACTGTTCATCCAAGTTAAAAGTATTTTAAAAAATAGGTATTAAAATTAATCAAATAAAACTTGATTTACTTTTTTCCAATGTCTTTATTGTAATAAGTTCATTTTGATTTAACAATCCTCAACAGTATCACTTTAACAATTGCTAGAACATTAAAGAACAAATTATAATAACTTGCAATATACGTTATTTTTAAGTTGTTATTTAAAAGTTTCGTATTTCCGACAAATGATTGTCATTGTATTCATGCCATCTACAATGATGTGCCATTCTGGAGACACATTTACACCTGTGTTCTGATTTATTACATTTGCATTGTTATGACAAAATGTTCTTTAATTTTTCTTTTCTAAACGTTTCTTTCACGTAATAATATTTTAGTTATTTTCAATTTGACGTATTGTACACGGGACAATTGATGTTTAATTAAGTCTTGACTCTTGTCACCTGTTCTTTTATTTGTGTTTTCAGTTGTCTTCCCGTTTCTCCAATATATACTCTTGTATTATCGAACATTATTTTTTTTAATATATAATGGACTATATGAATAATTAGTGGTTTTATATATATTATAACCCTTTTTATATGTTCTAAATGGCAATCTGTTGTTTTCTCTTCTTATGTTTAGATCTAAGTAATTATACTGTTATTTTCTTCTTTTTCTAATTCAAATATATTATTATTAATTATTTTATTTACTTTTTCTAATATATTATTATCTTCTATCAAATTCTTATTATATTGTATTAACTTGTCATCAACATAGCATGCATAATACGCTGTACCTTTTATATTTTTAATTTCTTCATCTATATATTTCATCACTATTTCTGCAAATTTCGGTCCAATAACACTTCCCATAACACGATTTTGTTATATAAAGATATTAGTTATCAGTTATTATTATGAATGTCATTTTATTGAAATGAATTGATATGCTTAATGGTCGTAATGAAGTTTCTGCTTCCGTATGATTCGCTTCACTTGTCAATATGGAGTTATTAATTCGTTGAGGAAGAACAGGGTCATGAGGATGAAGAAGGCCACTGCTTATGAGACAGTCTGTATCAAAAAATATATATTTATATTACATTTTAAAATTATTACTTACCTATCAAATTTCTAATTTATTGTGTATTTACTTTATCTATAATCTATACTAAATTATTTTTAAGCACGTTAATGTAAACAAGAAAGTTCTCTGCTAGATAAAATTATTTCCTTTTCTATTAAAGACTTTATTTGTTTCCTTTTACATATTCCCTGTTAATCCGAATGACGACTGGTCTCAATTACTTCACATTAGCATGACCATACTGTACTATTAGTTATTATTTATATTTTTAAAAAGATTTTTGTGACAAATTATAAGATCTGTGTAAATATTTAATCTCTTATTATCTATAAAATTATTTTCTTACAAAAGCCATCTCATTAGAAGGGACTGTTATGAAAAATTTGTATATAAGTTCTGGGAGTTTTGACTGACAATATCCTGAGAAAGTCTAATATTTGATGTTAAAATAATATATGATTTTCATGAGAAAATAATCCTAGAGATATTGAAAGAATAAATATTTAAACGGATATTTCTTATGGTTAGTTAAATATTACATTTATAAATGAAAAATAAAATCAGGTAGTTTTTAAACGAGATTATCTATAATTAAAAGAGTTTTTAATATGTCAAATATTTAATTAAATTTCTTACTAGAGTCAATATTACAAAACTCCAAATATAAAAGGCAAGTAAAAGTGAAATGGAATAAAATAAAGCAATTCAAATTTAGAATTTAAGCTTTCGATTTAAAATCTATTGCATTGAGATTTCTGACATAATAGATTTGGGACCAAATTAGTTTTTTTCCGAGGCATCTCTCAGAGCTACAGGGTGTCTTAAAAGTTACCGTGCAGTGAGAAATTTGTAGTGACGTTAAAGTTATAAATATGGCATTTCATACGAGATCTAAAAGTTGTGTGTTCCACATTTCCATTTTGCATTGGATGGCATTACTGCGCACTCACAGATGTTCTGGTGTTTGGACTATACTTTTTGGAGCGACTTCTCTGCTAATTGCATAATCTCCCATGCAATTTAGCCTTCTGGGTATTCAACTTCCACTCCAGATTTTTATCTCTGGAGTGTACTGAAGGGTTGGGTATACAAGAATAATCCTCATACTTTGGAGATGAAGACTGCAATTAACCTAATGCATCAAACACATCACTCCCACTACTTTGCAGAATGTGTTTGATAATATGCAGCATCGTGTGGTGCAGAGATGTCTTTTGGGATGCTGAGAGACATTTCCAGCATTTGCTGTAGGAGAAGCTGTAATATTATATGTAAAACTTCACTTTTATTAAAACTTAAACTTTTTCCACCAGTAAATATGCTTATAAGAACAAATATGTGTGTCACTAACATCACTTAAAAAGTCTCTGTAGATAATTCTTCGACTCCTTTCCCTCTCCGTTGTGTACAATGTGTTTTTTACTCCCTTCCCTTAAACTGTACACACAATGACTGGCCCCTAAATTTAAACCATTTTATTTAATTATATTGGTAAAATTTGTGTTTATGATAAATAGAAACAAATACATTTTTTGTTTTTACACTTTAGTAATTAATTAAATAAGGNTACTACTACCTCTAGGAAGCACTGTAAACAAAAATTGTGACTCCTCAACAGAGAAAAGGTTGTGTGTTCTGCTCTTCTCAAAGTCAGAATAATCTGAAAGAGCCATGGAGAGGAGTGACAATGATTACACTGTAGCAAGCTTAAGAATTTGAGTATTGGTTGGGTGTTTGCTATGTGACATGAGGTGCGCACACTGAGAAACCATAATGGGCAAATGTGAAACTTGGACAATCAATCAATTTGCGAACATTCAACTCTATTTACTTAAGATTAATAAATTAGTCGAAAACATTTAAATTATGACAAAGAATTTTATCTCTATAAAGCAGTTTTAGTTAATTTTCTCTGTATAGAAAGGAATTATTTAAATCCAAACAATCTGCCGAATTAGCGGGTTATTTTCAGGCTACGTTAATAATTAGTTACCAGTTAATTTGACTAGAGGTAGGCAGATAAGCTACCATCTTTTATTAATTTGAATAAATTTGATAAATTAATTTTTAATTTAGAAATTTCTGGAAAGAAAGAACCGGCTTGGAGAGGGACTCGAACCCACAGCTTTATTAGATGGCAGCATATCTCCTACCTCTAGTCAAATTAATTGGTATCAAATTTTAACGTAGCCTAAAAATAGTCGAATAATTTGGCAGATTGTATGGCTTTAATCAATTAAATTGGGTTTTTAGTCAAAGGAATTGTTTGAATAATTCTCTAGAGGTGATGCTACACATGTATTATTTCTCAAGTGACAAATGTTTGCCTATAGACATAAATTATTTGTCATATGCATGTACACGTGCTGCATGTGGCCAGAACAAATGCTTCTCTTTGATGTGGATGGAAAGAATGACTCCGAGAGTGAGAAAACTGTGAACATGTGGTTATATTGACACATTGCAAACATTTACCCAAACTATCCTGCTCTGCATATACCAAGTGGTAAACATTCGTCACTTGGTTTGCCAAACACTATACACTGCCTTAATATTAAATTTGCTTACCAAATCAAAAATTGTCAAGCTAGAACTTGGTTTATTAATTGTAGTCAAGTTCTAACCCAAAATTAATGCGGCAATTAACGATACGATAATTATAAAATTTGAGTTTTATTGTTAAATTTGATACTTTAAAGAATGCACG